AACGGCACTTAGTTTACAAAAAAGTCACAAAAATATATATATATATGTCATCACCAAGAACGATGGTTCCTGTAAAATACTAATAGCCAGAGACTAGTATACAAAATGTGAAGTTCTGACACCGTATACATTTTCAGGAAATAAAATCCCAAACCATTGTTGTTATTGTTGAAAGTCAAACATGCTAAGGAACTTGTGATGGCCACTGTCACCGAGAAAAGCCACACTTGAACGAGATGACTGGATACAGAGCTGGTGACCGGGGTGGGGGGCTGGCGCAGTGGAGAGAGCTGCGCTGGTTGTAGGAGGGGGTAGAAGACAAACACCATCTGCATAATTTAATTCACATTTCCTCCCCAGCACTACCCTCCCCCAAGGGTTTCACAAATGCCAGTGCCCCACAAAGAGCCATAGTGCTGTAACTAGCAGGTCTCCCCAGCCTCCTTGATGCCGGGCTATAGGAAATAGGAAAGGATCCGTCCGCTGACTAAAGCAGCCGCCCTGTGGGGCAGCTCCCTGCTGGGCTGGTGGGACTACAAAGTCCTCCAGTTTTAAATGGAGCCGGATTTACATGTTCGCTCTGTAAAATATTGAGCTAAGGTAGCAGCAAATAGGAAATTACAGAAACAAACCCACGATTTTATTTAAGAAATTCATCTGTTACATCAAAACAATTTTTTCCTTCATATCTGTCCCCTTTAACCAGACATCGACTTCTTCTACCACGGAATTATGATCTGTGGTCTCAGTCTGACTTTCTCATTTTGTCGCTATGGAAAAACACATGTCCTAATCCTGGAAAGTTTAAATTTACTGTTAAAAATGGGAATACAGGAATTTTAAAGTAAAAGAACCAAGTCTGTTCTAAAAGTATCTCTCACAAATATATATATATTTAAATATTAAAATAGGCTACATAGACTCTTTATAAAATGGCTTTTGAAAAGATAGTAGAGACTCGAAGAAGCCATACACTATCCTCCGGTCGGACTAAGGTGCCATAGGGTGCCTTACACAGAGGCAGCGCTCTCCACTGATGCAGGAGCACCAGGAAAACAACAGAAAAATCAACTCCTACTGGGACTTGGATTGAAACCAAATTCCACCCTTTTAGGACTGTTATTTCTCGAAAATACCTTGAAATCTAGGCATTAGAAGCCATCACTCTGTACAAGGAACAAGTCTAAGGATCTGACTCCTTCCAAATAAATACCCGATGGCACTCACTCCAGGCACCTGAAAGACGAAGGAAGAGCAGTGCAACTTCCAACAACGCGCCGGACTCCAACAACGGGGCCGGACTCCTCTCAGCATGAGGGCCACCTGCTACACCAGTGACTCAGAGAAAGCGCTCAGAGAAGCTGCCTGAATGCTCCCGGTCTTTGAATGACCAGCCCCACCGACACCCAGGGGAGAAGTGTGAGGAGACGAGGGCCCCTGGAGAACAGGAGGACTTCTCCTCAGCAGGGGACAGACAATTTAAAAGAAATTATGAAATATAACCACTATGATATAGTGAAACCATCTAACTGTATACTGTGTTTGGTGACCCGAACATTCATTTACGATGAGATTTTTTAAAACGTAACTGAATAATGAAACCTGGATATGGTTAGATGGCATTTGGGAAAAGAAGGACAATTTAAAAGAAATTATGAAACTGTAGCCCCTTAAACCATCAGGCAGCAATTTTATCAATGAATCATCACAATTGAGCCCAGTGTTTTAAGCTAATCAGAAAAACTGTTCAACTGAGAAGAGAAAGGCAATAAAAAATTGATTTTAGAAAGAGGCACTTCAAACTAAAATTTAAATCCCCCCCCCCAATGGTGTGGCTCAGCGGTTGAGCGTCAACCCAGGAGCCAAGAGGTCACCGGTTCATTCCCAGTCAGGACACATGCCCATGTTGCAGGCTTGATCCCCAGTGGGGGGCATGCAGGAGACAGCCAATCAATGATGTTTCTCTCTCATTGAGGTTTCTATCCCTTTCCCTTCCTCTCTCTCTAAAAATCTTGGGGGAAAAATGAGTCTAAAAAATTTTAATGTTTTTGTTCTCTATCAATGGTCTGAACTCCTCGTTCTTTGTAAACGATCATGTAAACAGGAACCCTGGCATTGGTTGGAACTGCCCGGGGCCTATGCAGAGGGAGGTTGCTCAACTCAGACTCTCAGGCAGGCCCATTGCTCAGATACTGCCAACTGAGTCCTGTGACATCGCCTTCCAGCGCGCAGAGGCTATTTGTAAAGGCAGAAATGCATGGATCTATTACTTTTTTTTTTATCATAAAAATATAACCACTATGATATAGTGAAACCATCTAACTGTATAGTTTACTATGAAGTAAAAAAAAAGTACACCTATGATGTCACCAAGTCTTCTCCCATAGCTGACAGATTTAACTTTCTATTAATAAATCTCAAGATTCTTATAATTCTAAAAATGAAATATCCAGAGTGTCCGTTCCTTAGTTGAACCTGAAAGCTGGCTCACTTTCACTTCATTGTTTAATCTGAACCATTATTGCTCTTTGCAAATTTGTCTTGCTGAGGGCTATCCACATGGTAAGACAACCCAAAGATAAAAATGGGTCCAAGCAAAATGAGGAGTTACTTACGAGTTTGATTTTAACGTAAAGCCTGTAGGACTATGTTCAGCTATAACTATTCCTCACAGACGTGGTTACTATAATGGAGATTCCCCCAATTTTGTTTCACTGCTTCAGAAAAAAAAATCATGCTTCTATATATTCTTTTAGTAACTTTCAAAACATAAATATATTATAAATAAAGCATCTTATCTCAATAACTCACAGTGGAAAAACCACATTACCTTTTAGCAACTTTGGGTCCTTTCGAAGCGAACTTTGAGGCCTCCCCCCAATTAATATTACCACCTAGAAAACTATGATCCCTCACTTGGACGTATATTTCAGTTATAACTTCACCTTTCCCAGGTGAGTGGAAATACTTAAGTGCTGCATGAAAGTTTCTCAATCTCTTCAATTCCTCAAATCTCAAACTTTTCAGTTAAATACTACAATTTTAGGGTTGTTCATTCATCAAGTACTAATTCTCTCCATGTACTATTCAGTATACATCACCACACAGTAATGTTATTTTTTCCCCAGGGACTACAAAACTGAAGAGATGAACACACGATCTGAGAGTCTTCAAAATAAAAGCCACTAAACCAGACAACTGGCCTCTATTTAGATTAAGGTAAGTACAAGAATAAAAATAAGAAATAAAATACTGAAAGAGCAATACAGCTTTCAAAGGCTCCCGGGGAACAGTGTCCACATCAGGAGAGACTGACTCAGTAGTTTGCAGGTAACAGTGTTAGCAATAATAAATACATCACATGTGCTGGCTAGTCCACCACTTTGGTAAATACTTTAGCGAAATGGAAGCTTTTTGTTTTGAAAGCCAAAGGGCATTATGTCATAACAAGGAACCAAATTACTGTAAGCCAGAGTGCTTGCTGAAATATAAGACTGCATGAGGCTATTTAAACATCTTAGTACACTGTCTCACTGAAATCAAGAACTTTAAAAACTGACAATGTAACTAAATGTGTAACTACTTGAAATAAAAATTAAGATGACTTGAAATTCAAATTAAGAACAATCAATTTAAATATATTTGCGGGTGACAAACTCCTTCTGCTTCCCTTTACAGAAAACTTAAAATTCCGAAAATATTAAATAAAACCCAATATTCACCTGTTTCTGAATTAGTATAATCACTGACATGCCGGATGTGTCCGCTGTTAGAAATGGAGAGCGACTGCAGGAACTTAACGCCCAGGGCACCACTGCAAACATCTTTGCTCATTTCTAAACTAGATCACATGTATGTGGTAGCTTAAACATGGAAAATACATGTGTTTCTTGTATAAAACACTTGGTTTTAAAAAGGCAACTTATTCCATATCCTAAAATTTAAGCCCTTTAAATATCAGTTACCCTCTTGGGCCTTAAAAAAGACAGGTGTGCTTAAGTATTCGAAACTGGACTCTTTAATGTTTAATTATACTGACAGTTTCTAATGACTGAGATAATGTAACTGGCTTTCATCTGTTTGCAATGTTTTCCATATATATTCTGGTAAAAATTACATATCCAAACATCCCTCACTTGCATGAATTTTAAATAAACCCAATTACCACTATGTACAATTATCCCTCGAAAGGGATCTATAAGCCAAATATCCTTAAACTGTGTTGTCAAGAAAAACGTGAGCCTTCCTGAAAGAGAGAAGGCCTTTGTTTATATCGTTTTATGTTAAATTCTAGTTAGTTAACCATATTGCTAAGATTTGGGAAGAAGACAACTAAGTATGCATTTTCACAGTATTATACTCTTAATTTTTCAAAAAACTGGCAATCTGTGAAATTGTTAATTGCCAATGAAAATCTACAGTTTCCATCTGGGGAAGAATAGCCGACGGCGGTAATTCGCATTCTGAGAACACAGACTACCTCAGAGCTGCCCACGCGGCGCCAGCTCTGTCAGAGCAGAGTTCTCAGGCAGGTGTGCAAAACACCTTCTACCAACAAGATTCTAACACATTTATTTAACGCCATTTCTTTTCCTTTCGTTTAAAAATAACTCTTAGAACTGAGGGCACCAACTTCTGGTCATAATTTTACCTACTGTTTGACTCGTCCAGGTAAGATTAAAAAATTAACTGTGACATTTACCTACTGGCAGGCATGACAGTTTTCCAAGTATATGACCCTGGAAGTAAGAATCGCTGACCTTTCCAGCTGGGACACAGCAGGACTGTTACTACGTGTCTGCGGCAGGAAGCAATTCAACCCTGCTGGTCAAGAAGCGTAAGTGTGAGCCCATCATAACCTGTCTCTGCTGACTTTCCTGAAGGTAACATGCACACATCTGAGAGCCAAGGGGTAAGAACGGATTCATGAATGAGATTAGGAGTTGGAAACAAGTTAAAGACAGAATACGGAAAGAGACTAAAAGAAAATTAGCCTTAAAAAACTTCAATGAGTTTACTTTTCCTTCCATTACATTTGTGGGGGGGTAAAATAAATGACAGAATTAGCAAATTAAAAAAAAAAAGAAACAAATCACTAAAACTTAAAAAATATGTTTTATTATTAAGGTCTAGCACCTGGACAAAATTCAAATCTTGTTTGCTGAATAAGAAACTGTATTTTAATCTCCTTTTTTCTGATTTAATCAGGTGCTTTCATAATTATTAAACTTTGGGTATATACAGAGTTACTCAAAGTTCATTGTTCATAAACTCATGAATATTCCAGATCAAGGTAAGTGATGCTTTAACTGGTCCTAGATGAAAAGTATGTTCCAGCCTAGAGTATCATATAAATTCAGCTATAAATCAGAAAGTTTCATTAGTTAGCAGCAAAAAGGTGATATTCATTAATTTAAGATTTTTAGTTTTTCTTTAGTTTTAACTGTTTCCCCCCAGATTTCTGAGTCATAGACCATCATTCTATAGACTATCCTCATCTTTTACATTATTGCTTACATTGTGTAAAAACTACACTAACTGATTTTAATAAACTTGGCAACGTCTAAAAATATTTTGGGACAAGGATAACATATCACTGCCATATGGAGTTTTTGTAAACAATCTTAGCTGGGTTAAGAACGTAGTCTTAATATAATTTTTATTTTGTCTAAAACAGCACAATAAAAACATCCCCAACAATACATAAACCTACATATAAAATATAGAATATCTCCAATATTTTTCCTTTATATAGTATCATGACCACATATGCAAGAGAAAGTATTGTGGGTGGGGAAAGAGGAAACTAATTTAGGCAGTGACCTAATTAGTCAGACATTAACATTCAAAGACCAGCTGGACAACTTCAGCTAGAAAAGTAGTATTATAAAGAGCTCCTATGAAATTGGAATTTACGTACTACATTCTCCATTCCTGGTCACTTCATGCATAGCTGGACTATTCTCAATCATGGTTTTTGCCTTCTTTTGTAGAAGAAAGGTAAGATTATTTGGAGGACTGGTTCTATAAAGATTCAGGGAATGCCTATCCCAATATCAAATTTTCACCATGAAATATCAGAATAGAAAGGACAAAACTTAAAAAAAACCACCCAGGCCCAGGCAACATGGCTCAGTGGTTGAGCGTTGACCTATGAACCAGGAGGTCACTGTTTGATTCCTGGTCAGGGCACATGCTGGGTTGCAGGCTCCATCCCCAGTGTGGGACATACAGGAGGCAGCTGACAGAAGCATCAATGGTGAGAGAGAATCATCTATCTCTTTCCCTCTTCCTCTCTGAAGTAAAAAAAAAAAAAGAGTATCTACCCTAATAATTTTTAAGATAGCTTATAAATATTTCCAGAAACAAAAGGCTTTACAAAAAAAACTCTGTACAGCGTCTGGTGTACAGGAGTAAACATCTATCCAGGCCATCTGTCACATTCCTTTTAGTAGTTTGTTTCTGGTGTGCCCTTTCATCTCAGGAAGATCAGCATTCACCCGATTCCTTCGTTACCTAATGATCTGTTGTTAGTCTACTAACAACAATGCAAGGAGAAACGACTACATGTTTTAAGTCAATTGGTTCTCCTTACATCCAACAATGTATTATATTTTGACACCATGTTATTGTGTACTTACAGAAGCAATCTCCCAGTCATGAATTGCAGGGTTCACAAAGTAAAAAGGAAAATTCTTCCACAAAACCTTTTTTAAAAAATTAAATTAAATTTAAATGTACAAGACCAAGCACAGGCACTTCCCAAAAAACCAAAATGAAGCCAAACCATGGAATTACTCAATAGTTATAGAAGACAGCTCTGATTTGGGGGGGTCCTCTCCAGTGGCCTCGGCACAGGCACTGGTCTTGGGCTGCTCTGTCACTTCTTCCTCCTTTTCTGCCAGCCCGGCGAGAGACCCCAGGGGAAAAGTGCTTTCACAATTCTGGGTCGAGGAGACCTGTGAAATTACAGGCATTTGAACAGAGGAGTTGCTTTCAAAACTGTGTTCTCCAAGGTCATACTGAACAAGGGCCTCTTCTTGCTCGTGGTTTAAGTAGTCCGGTACTAGGAAATCACTAAGAGGCAAAGGATGAAACAGAGAGTTAATTCTCAAACCTGTAGTAAACAAGACAATAAAAAGACCTAGTCTATAAAACAAGATCAGGATGTTTTATTTCTCCAATTCTTAAAGGAAGATTATATTTAAGATTTTAGTCCTAGTCAGTTCGGTTCAGTGGATAGATCATCAGCCTGTGGACTGAACGGTCCTGGGTTTGATTCTGGTCAAGGGCTTGGACCTCGGTTGCAGGCTTGATAATGGGCCCTGTTTGGGGTGCATGCAGGAGGCAACAAATTGATGTTTCTCTGTCTCTCCCCATCCTTTCCAACCTCTAAAAATCAATGGAAAAATATCCTCGGGTGAGGATTAACAACAAAAATTAGGAATTTAACTTTTAAATTGTCCTAAATATGAACCTAAGCACTCTATTAAAACCAAAGTATATCAACTCTCACTACCACCAATAGATAAGATTCAATGTCAACTCTCGTTTTATGTAGACAGTTTCTATTAAGCAAAGATCATTTGAGTAAAATTATGCTTAACCTTTCTTGGACTATCTAAAAAAATCTAATACATTATTACATTTGTACATTTGAATCAGAATCCTATGAGATTAGTTATATTTTAATCCTCAAAGACTATTGAGTTTACTAATATTGAAAGTACTTAATAGTCTATTGATATGACAAGTATTTAATTATTGAATGTAATATATACCAAAATTTTAACAACAGTAAATATTATTCCTGAGTGGTGAGATCAGAAAAGGTCTTAATTTCTTATATTCCATACTACAAGTATTTTTGTAGTTAAAACAATAAATATTATGAAATAAGTCTTATCTTAGATGTTTTATTTAAACCTTTATTGCTTCATAATACTAAAATGTCAACTCGTACACTTAATAGTTATCAATACTGGACAGTTCAATTATAAAAAAATTAAAAATCTGCTCATAGGTACAGCACTTTCAGATGTCATGTGACACTTTCTAAAAACCCGTCAGGTTTCAGACACGCGACGTGGAGGACAGAGGAGTGGTTAATGGACACTATTTTAGTCCCAAACAATGTTTACTGTGACATGTATAATCGAGGTTCAATGATATGACCACTAGATGCTCAGAGTTAGAAATAATTACATTAAACAAAGTGAATGTCTGATTTGAAGAGAACAAAATCTATGTAGGAATATTTGGAATTTATTGAGAATATTTTAAAAAGTGGTTTAAGATTCATTTTATATGAAATTGAGCATGCCTATAGATGTATTAAAAGTAGACAACAGAATAGTGTATCTAGAGGGGACCTTAGAAATCACCTTCCCAGCTCACATTTTATTCTTTTCTAACTTTCAAGCCCCTTCATCGGGAAAGTGACATACTCCATCAGGACAGCAGTTTGTGGCAAAGCTAGAACCTGATTTCCTCAGATATCCTATAAAGCAGAAAGGCAATTCCATCATAAATTATTATTAAAAGCATGATGTTTTAAGCTGAAAGGAAAAAAGGAAAACCACTTGATCTAAATAATCATATCTATTATAATTGCTACTGCAATTTCTTTTATATATTCCTTTATATAGAACTATAAAAGAGAAATGCTCAAGAATTTTATTAACATCACTAAGTATCATCTGACATGGCAAGTTTCCAATAAGGTCCATTTACGATCCACTATAGAATTACTTTAACCTTATATATATCTCAAAACACAACAAAAAACACCAAAAACAAAAACTCAACAGGAGCCAGCCAGTGTTGTTCAGTGGTTAAGCATTGACCTATGAACCAGGAGATCACAGTTTGATCCTAGGTCAGAGCACGGGGTGTGGCCTCAACCCCCAGTAGGAGGTGTGCAGGAGACAGCCGATCAATGACTCTCTCATCATTGATGTTTCTCTCTCTCCCTTCCTCTCAGAAATCAATAAAAATGTATTTAAAACCTTAAAAACAAAACAAAAAAACCAAGATCAGTAGCCTATTCCTATAGAAAAAGATTCCTAATTTCAAAAATAATATTTTTAATTGTCTATACTTAGAAGATTCAGCAAAATTTTATCCGATCAGATTGGAGTATGGATTGGATTTTAAAAGGAATGTGCCTGGTTACCTGGCAGCCTGATAAAGACAGAGCAGGCTGCCCTAGAAGCAGGAAGAGAGGTCAGAAAGCAGTGTTCCTGGGGGTCTCGCTGTGCACCTCACCTGCTCTGGAAGTAGTTTGCTAGCTCTGACGCTTCATGGTTCAGACTCCTCAGGTGCACGATTAAATTTCCAGAGTTGGTGAACATGGCGCCACATGTTTTGCACTCGTAAATCCGAGGCTTGCGGATAATGTGCCGGGAAACCCTCATGTGGTGCTTATATTCCCCGAAGGAAGTGAAAGTGGCACCACATATCTGGCACCGGAAACAGCGTTTACCTTCATGCTTTAGGCGATGCATCTTTAGCGAGTAAGCCCTGGTGAACTTTTTTCCACAGCGGTCACACTGAAATGGTTTAATTCCTATAAAATAAAATAAAAAATAAAATCAACTGAAAGTTTATCAACCTCACAAATTTCTGAGTTACCATTCTGTAGCAATAGATAACTTGAGAAGACAAAAATCACCAGCAAAAATGAATTGCAATTTATTATCTTAGAAAAGGTACAGAATATCTGAAGTTGCTACTAAAAAAAAAAAAAAGGCAAGTGGGGTGGAGTAAACTAGGTAATATACACTCAAATTGTTATGTGAACACCCTTCAAAATCATCTATTTTACAAACTTCGAAACACAATTTAACTACAATATTTAACCATAACCCAAGTCCCCTATAACATTTGTTTCATTAGTGAGCATTATATTGAAAAGATGTGAAAAAGATTAGTATCTACTCTTCATTCCTCATCTCTGAGAGAAATGAGTAGAAGAAAAATCTAACTTTTCTGAACATAAAACGATCATGATAGAACTACCATGTGATGACTTGGGTTTTTAGGTATTTAATGTATTAGTGATAGGTCATTATCACAGTTTTGGCAAAAATTTTTTAAAATCTTCAGAATATAATCTGTTGATTTAACAGTCACAGGAAACTGGTATTAGTCACAGGACTGTTAGACGTTTCTACAGAAGAGGAACATGAGAGGGCACAGCTGAAAACGACAGCAAAGATTTCTGACTTATCAGAGGTCGGTGTTTCACCTCCAAGAATTCTGCTGCCTTTCTATGATCACTGAACTTAAGTTTCAAATCTGTTTTACACATCATTTATCCAAAAATCTCGTTCACACTAAAAAAGGACTACAAAGCTAACTAGACAAGGCACAGAGAAATTCAGGATTGCAGAATTAAAATTAAATTATTAAATATTAAAAAATCACTTTTTATTTCAAATTTCAAACTTACAGTGAAAACAGTACAAAGAACACTTACATCCTTTTAATGCAATTTGCTTTACAATCTGTATTTGTGCTTCTATACCTCACATATACACACACACCAACACACCCAGCATTTTTGACTTACGTTACACACACACTGTGCTAAGCTTTAACCCTAATGCTATGCCTGTGGAAAACATACTACAGCTTCTGACACTGAGCTATTTCAACAATGGACCTGGGCTTATCTGTTCTCATTTGACTTCCCAGAGATGCCTATACATTTTTAAACTAAAAACCACCTGTTTGCTGTTTTTAACTGGGATTCCAAAATAAAATGTTTTAGAGTACTCATTCAGGCCGCAGTAGGGAAGGTGACGTTACCTGAGTGGATGAGCATGTGCTGTTTTAGGTTCTGAATTCGGGTGAATCGCACCCCACAAGTTGGACATTGAAAAGGTCTGTCCGGACCATTTGGGCTGGGCCGTTCTGTACTGCTGGTAGAAGGAGCAATGTAGAGTTGGTAGGGATACTGAACATTTTCCAACCTAAAAAACAGACCAAAGAAGGCAACCAGGCTCTGATTTTTAAGTTGAATAAACATTTCTGCACAACATTTAAGTGAACAAAAGAAAAAGCACTTAAAGATTTTGGAAACAGTTTCACTGTTAGATGACAAGTTTCATTTGCGGCAATATGAAAAATGTTGTACAGAATGGCCAGTATCTTAAGCAAGGATATACAGTCATAGAACACACCATAAACACTTTTACTTCAAGGATATTTAATCTTTCTAATTCTTTCCTTCCTACTGCTGCTTTAATTTAGGACCTCATCAATACAAGGCTGAATTAATAACTCCCTCTCTTTAGGCCCACAGGACTCTAATCTATCCTTCTCACTGTTTCACAATGATTTCTCAGATTCAATCAGCCACCTTTTAAACTCCTGCAAAGGTACAGTTATCTTCAGAATAAAGTCTAAACCCTTTTGCAAGGCACTCTTTATGACCTGAGTTCTCCAGCTTCACGTCTTATCACAGTCCCCAAACACACCCTATACCAAGCTGTTCCTACCAGTTCTCTCAGTGCTGTGCTTTTGTACACTGAACTTCCTCTATTAGCCTACCGTCTTTGCCTAGATAACACCTAGTCATTTTATGAAATGTGGTAAAGTTGCCTCCTCCTCCCAGAAGCATTCTTCGATTTATCAGAGGCTTAGGTTAGCTACCTTCCTTTGCAGAGCAATAGAACCCTCTGCAGAGCACTCGAGATTATGTTTACTTTGCCTATTTTCAACTTCTCTCCCTTCCCACAAACGGGTTTGATTCCTTTGAGGGCAAGGACTATACATTTCATCTCTAGTATCTCTACCACTTACCACAGTATCTAGTATAGAACAGATAACCATTAATGTTTGAAATTAAGGAATTTAGGCACATTTACATTTGTTTACACCTTCATTATTTATTCAGATGACTGGTACCTAACCTGCTATGCCAGGTTCAGCTGTTCAAGAACAATAAACCTTGTTTGCAGTCTTTGAATGCTTCAAGTTTTCAACACATACAGTTTTTAAGTCTGCCCTGGGCTCTCTATGAGGAATTAATTCAGTGGTCAAAGACAATACTCAAGAAAATGATCAGAATGAAGAATTAAAATAGGGTAAACCAATAGTGATAAGTGCAGCTTTATTTTAGACTGGTGGCTAGAAAACGCTCCCTTGAGAACTGACGAGTCCCCAAAGCAGAAACAAATACTGACTGTCCCATGAACCGAAAGGAGATCTATATGGCTAGAATGTAGTATGCAAGGAGAATGGTCTGAAGGAAGTTGGGCAGAAGTTGTATCATGTGGGGCTTTAAAGGCAAGGAGTTTAGATTTAAGTGTGAATCTATAGGAAACAAGATCATTCCAGCTGCTACATGGAGAATGACTGGAGTAGGGGGAGAATGAAATCAGAGTAGTCAAGGCAGAGGATGGTGGTGACTTGGGCTCGGGTGGTTGTAGCAGAGATGGAGGAAAAGTAGACCCGAGAGGGATGTTTTGGAGGCAGAGATGTGAGGACTTGTTTAAGGATGAAGTATGGGGAGTGAGGGGAAGAACAAGTATACTTCCTGGAGATCCTGCCTGAGAAGTTAGGGGAACGATGAAGCTGTCTGAGGGGAGCTAGAAGTCTTGAGTTCTGTCCTGGCCACGGTTAAGTCTGAGATGCCCCTTACTCATCTATGTGGAAACATGGAGCAAGAGGGTCAATCTGAAAGTAACTTGGGAATAATGGGTATGTAGATGAGGGTTTGGCAACTATTTTCTGTAGCAGGTTAGACAGTAAATATTTCTGGCTCTGCACACCACATGATCTATTTCAATCACTCAACTCTGCGTCCACAGACAATACATAAACAAATATTGTGGCTATGTTCCAATAAAACCTGATCTGCAAAGGCTCGTGGGCTGGACCTGGCCGCTGGTCCATAGTTTGCCAACCCCTGATACAGATACTATTTAAAGAGATGGGATCGGGCAGTTTTAAAAATGCTAAAAACTGCTGTACAGGTGGTTTGATTTATGATGGGATAAAGCTACCTTGTTACTCTGAAAAATATACTAAAATGAGGTCCCAATGAACTTATTGTATAATCCCAGATAAAAGACTTAAGAATTGCAAGCACAGTCCTTAAAAGAAAACAACCTACTATGTTAGTACTAACCGATCATCGTCATCTGCGTGAGCATTGGTGCTGGAAGTGCTTTGAAGCGTAGGTAACCCTTCGGTGACACCTTCATCTACCGAGCCTGAAAATAAAAGAAGACAGGTGTCAGTACTGTGGTGAAAATAAGCCAAGACACGAATTGCAAGCTGTAACTTTAAGCCTTTAAAAACAGACTAATGCAGCGGTTGCCAACCGGTGGTCCCTGGACCCCTGGGGGTCTGTGAGGTCCGAAAGGTTGGTGACCGCTGGACTAATGTACGTGCATATCCTGAATTAATAAAAAGTGTTCTATAATACTTTAAATGTTAATGTGATTTAAAAAGAAATCACATGTAAGACAACAGCCTTATATTCCTTAAAACCTTTTAGGACTATTTCTTTGATATAAATGTTAGAAACAGAGCAATTCAAATGTAAACTAAACAAAAACTCACGCAAAATTGAATGTTATAACAATCACTTAAGGAACCAGATGATTTTACTTTTTACGTATTTTACTGATTTGAGAGAGAGGAAGGGAGGGGGAGAGAGAAAGAGAAACATCGATCAGTTGTCTCCTGTACACCCCCTACTGGGGATCAAGCCAGCCACTCTGGGCATGTGCCCTGACTGGGAATTGAACCGTGACCTTCTGGTTCATGAGTCGAAGCTCAACCACTGAACCACACTGGATGGGTGACAATTTTTATTTTTTTTAAATTTTATTGTGGCTCAGCCAGTGGGGGACATGTATGAGGCAGCCGATTAATGATTCTCTCTCATCACTGATGTTTCTATTTCTCTCCCCCCCCTTCTCTCTGAAATCAATTAAAAAAATATAAACTTAATGGCATTAAAAATGTTATTGTGACATATAACTTACTGTACATACAACTTTTACACAGAATTAAAAATTAGCTACAAAGTGAGCACCTGTGTAGTCTCCACACAAGTCCCCCTAGACCACTGCCAGCAGCCTAGCAGTCCCCATTTACTCTTCCCTGGCAAGCCCTTCCTTCCAGGAGGCAACCAGTATCCTGACTTTAATGGTTACCATTTCCTTCCTTTTTCTTGACCCTCCTTCCTTTTAAAAGTGATTTCATCTCAAATCCAGGTACCCATAAACGGGGGGTCATTTTTGCAGGAACACAGCCATGTGCCACCATCTACCATGTCCCATCACTACAATGGCAGAGTGGAGTCATCGAGGCTGCAATAGAGACCATGTGGCAGCTAAGTCTAAAAATACTACCAGTGCCCTTTAAGAAAAGTCTGTCACTCTCACCATAAATAGTATAGTTCAGTGTTGTCTGATTGTAAACTTATATAAATTGAGTCACATTGTATGTATTCCTGTGTCTTGTTTCCTTCAATATTGTGGACTTACCCATGTTATCACAGATAAGTGAAATTTAAAAGTTGCTGTATGATATTCATAACCTATCTATTTTTTTAATTTTTTAGTATTAACCATCTGCAAGAAAAGCTACTTCTAAGTTACAGTTCCCTAAAAATAAAAAAGGATATGAACAGCAAGGTAAGAGTCCCTGGCTTCTGATGTTATTAATAAGTCAGATATTCTTCTGAAGGTACTGTCAGCCCCCCCCCGCCCCCCCCCCCCACACACACACACATTGTCTCTATAATGTGTCCAGCTTTGTTTCTTTTATTATTCTTATTGGGATTTGCTGGTGTCTTTCATCAATTCTGGAAAATTCTCAGCCATTCTCTTTTCTCCCAGGACTCCCGTCAAACCTACGTTTGTATTGTCCATAACCCTTACCTTCTCCACTGCTGTCTCTACCACTGCTCTGTGATGGTTAATTTTTATGTCCACGGTACTGGGCTAAGGGACGCCCAGTGAGCTGGTAAAACATTATTTCTGGGTGTGCCTGTGAGGATGTTTCTGGAAGAGATTAGCATTTGAATCCGTAGACTGAGTAAAAATCATCCTCACCAATGCAAGAGGGTACCCTTGACCAACAGAACAAAAGGGTCAAGGAGGGCAAATCTGCTCCTTGCTTGAGCTGGGATGTCCATCCTCTCCTGCTCTTGGACATCAGCTCTCCTGGTTCTCAGGCCTTTGTGTCTGTACTGGAACTACACCAGCAGCTTACCTGGGCCTCCAGCCAGCAGAGGTCAAACTGTGAGACTTCTCATCCTCCATAACCAGTCAGTGAATCCCTCCTAATAAATCCCTATGTATCTGTATCTGTCCTCTTGGTTCTGTTTCTCTGGAGAACTCTAATACAGTCTCTTTTAACTTCCGATTCACCAATTCTCTTTTTTGCTAAGTCCAATCTGCTGCCAAAATGTTGACTTTTTTATTTTGGTCATTTTTTTTCTTTTCTAGAAGTCATCCCCCACAAATCTGCTGTATTACTTTTTAGTTTACTGTTCTCTGCAATCATTGTTCAAGCTTGCCTCTTTTGTTAAACATAGTAAGCATGTTTGTTTTATGTCTCTTTATGAAAACCATGCCAATTTATCTCTCTGCCTGCTTTTTCCTGCCGGTTCTCCGTCTGCCGTGTTTCCCTGTGTGCCCTGGTTGTTTCTGATGTAGTTATCACCCTTGAAAATGGTTTGCAAGGAACTGATTTGCTGAAGTTAGGATGAATATGTCCCTTTTCAGAGAAGCTTTATGTTTCCTTGTGTTCGGTTCCTAGGGGGCACTACCTAAACCACATTCATGGAGATGCAAATTTGCAGGTCTTGGTGATGGCCACGTCCCCCTATTTTTGCTTTTTATCTTCTAGTCTGCACAATGCCAACACAGTGTTTCTACAGTCCCCTGGAGGAAGGGGAGCAGGTACTGGTATAGAACTTGGGGGTTCCTACTTAATGTAGAGCAACTGCTCTAAGAGTTCACAGCTTTCACATCCTCTGGGTCTTGGCTTCTATTTCCCTCACTCTTGGAGTCGAGTTGATTTGTGTTTTGGTGGGGAACCTTTTTTCTGCCAAGGGCCATTTGGATATTTACAACATCATTTGCAGGCCATACAAAATTATCAACTTAAAATTCAGCCTGCTATATTTGGTCAAACATTTAATTAACTTGCCCCTAATGCCTTGACAGGGCCAGACCAAAAGATTTCAAAGGCCTTATATGGCCCACGGGCCAGACATTCCCACCTGTCTTAAGGAAAAACTGGTTTTAGTGCTCTGGTATCTACTTATCTCTCCTTTAAAATTAAGCATCTTTTCAAATACTTTTAAAGTACCTTTAAAAAATCATATTGTTTTTAGTGTGAGAGTAGACTCACAAAAATTATCAAGAACACCAATTATTACACAATGTTCTAACACACTGATAGAGGTTTTTGAAAGGAGACAAGACTATGCATTTTCACATTCAACCCCAACTGTGCCCTCACTATTCTGACCACCCTCTATCTCACCCTTACTGTTGTGTGCTTAGCATTCTATGCCTGTCTTTCCTTTTACTCTTTCCCTTACTGTCAAAGACATTTATGCTCCCCTGCCAATATGCCTACTTATCCAACTTATTCCTGATCCTTCTGATTTGTTGTTGATCCAGGAGTGGGTTTGGGGGCCGGATAATGCTGCATTTCGTTTAGAAAGACCTGTTGACTTGTCAATATCATACCATTTTCACTTTTCCTTTAAAGAGAAGAAACTAAAGACTAACATTTCAATCTGTCCTAGGATAAAAACTGGAAAAATCCCAATATTTGGACCTGGTCACCATGGAGACACACACACACACACAAAATTCTGCAGTTATTCAGAATACAGGCAATATAAAATCTTACAGGCAAAGACTTGCAAAAAAAGGCCTGGAGATATGATTAGGGCAGGCTAGGAAGACTGATCTAGACATTTGCTTCTCACCATCAGGCAAGCTACATAGGCGGGAGTGGGGTCTTGGTGAGGTGAAAATAAAAACCACTACCCTTTGGATTAATTCTCGCATTGTCAAGAATTGGCTTAAAAAGCTGGTGAAAAAACTAAAATGGAGCACAAGGTAAGTCTTGCAGATGGTCTCCCTTAAAACAAGGCTATTTCCACATTCTAAAATAGCATCTAAAGTTTGGCCTCTAGATCCCTAATTTGATTGATAGTGAGCAAAGGGCATTCTCCTCTCCCCCATGGCTATTCAATGAGCCAAAAGCTAAAACAAAAAAACACTCTAAACTAAATTAAGAGTTTAACAACATATACTTTTAGAATTCCATCCATACTGTAGACATTATAACACATAGTGTTGTATCACATGCAGCTATTGGAAAAAATAAATCTCGTAAACTCTTTTTCCTGAGATACTGATGGTTTTTTACCAATGAGAAGTAATCAGCCGAAACAGGTTTGGCTCAGTGGATAGAGCGTCGGCCTGTGGACTGAAAGGTCCCAGGTTCGATTCCGGGCAAGGGCATGTACCTGGGTTGCGGGCACATCCCCAGTAGGAGATGTGCAGGAGGCAGCTGATCGATGTTTCTCTCTCATCGATGTTTCTAACTCTCTATCCTTCTTCCTTCCTCTCTGTAAAAAATCAATAAAATAAAAAAAAAAGAAGTAATCATATGAATTGGAATTTTATTTGAACTGATGTAAGAGTAGGATATCCATTCAATGTTACTTTCTTGAGGTGATAATGATGTTTCCTAAATTATTAAAATGAAGTTCCCTTTCTACACTCTGTGGATTCTGCTCTTGGTAACAGGGGCTAAGAATTCTGAACAGATCCTTCTCACCTTAATGAAACAGTAAAGCTGATTTATAAAAACAATCAGCTTTATATGATAAGGGCTATCTCATCAAGAGAAATGCTATGCTCTTCCACCAATAGGGAGTGCTGTTTATATAGCTTCTGCTGCATAAACTGACTCCTTACAAATACTCTTTTCTGGTGGTGAAAAATAATCACAGTGGCCATCCACTACTGAGTATTTACCACGTGCCAGACACTGTTCTAAATGCTTTAAATACAATATTTCATTTCATACTCGAGGAAGAGAAAAAGCAGCCCTTAATATTTAGGAACTGGCCAGACATGGACACTGGGCCTGGTGGTCCCAGGTAGGGGCCTGGTGTTTTCCTGTTGGACATAAAACAATTTCACAGAACACCTGCATCAGACCAGGT